CTGGGGCGTGTTAGGAAGGTCTGGGATCTGTGTAAGGATCTGGGAGATGCTGGGGGGCCTGGGGACTGATAGAGGAGATCCGGAATGTATGGGGGGGCTGGGGACTCTTGGAGGGGGGAACTGGATGTGTTTGGGGAGCTCTGGGACATGTTGAAGAGGTGTGGGGCCTGTTTGAGGCCTTTTATGGGGACTGGGGCATGTTTGGGGGGATCTGGGGTGTTCTGGGTGGGACTGGAGCTTGTTAGAGGGGGGCTGGGTCTGTTTGGGGGCATCTGGGATGTAGGGGGGTGTCTGGGGTCTGACTGAGGCCTATTTTGGGGGGTCTGGGGTGTGTTGGGAAGGTCTGGGATCTGTATGAGGGGATCTGGGACATGCTGGAGGTCCTGGAGCCTGTTAGAGGAGATCTGGGATGAACTGGGGGGAGGTTGGGCCTGGTAGAGGGAATTTGAGATGTTTTCAGTGGGATTGGAACTTGTTAGAGGGGGACTGGGTCTGTTTGGGGAGCTCTGGGACATGCTGGGGGGCCTGGGGACTGATTGAGGCCTATTTAGGAGGGTCTGGGGTGTGTTGGGAAGGTCTGAAACCTGTTTGAGGGGGTCTGGGACGTGCTGGGGGGCCTGGAACCTGTTAGAGGGAATCTGAGATGTACTGGGGGGAGGTTGGGCCTGTAAGAGGGAATCTGGGATGTACTGGAGGGAATCTTGGCCTGTTAGGAGGAATCTAGGATGTTCTGGGTGGGATTAGAGCCTGTTAGAGGGTGGCTGGGCCTGCTTGGGTTGGGGTCTGGGTCTGTTTGTGGCCTTTTTTATGAGGGTTTGGGATGTGCTGGGGGGGTCTGGGCCTGTTTGAGGGGATCTGGAGCTGTTTGAGGGAGTCTGGGTCTGTTTGGGAGAGGGTCTGTGGCATGTTGTGGAGGCTTGGGGTCTGTTTGTAGGGATCTGGGATGTGCTGGGGAGGGACTGGGGTCTGATTGAGGCCTATGTATGGGGGTCTGGGGCATGTTGGGAAGGTCTGGGGCCTGTTTGAGAGGATCTCAGCCAGTTTGAGGAGGTCTCGGATGTGCTGGGGGATCTGGAGCTGTTTTGGAGGTCTGTTTGGTGGGGTGTGGGGTGTGTTTGAGGTCTGCTGGGGAGGTTGGGGCTTATTGGAGGGAGCTTAGGACATTGTGTGGGGTCTGGGGCATGCTGGGGGGCTCTGGGGACTGCTGGTAATGTGGGAACTCATCTGGGGGTAAGGGTGGGGAAGAGGGGATCCGACTGCTCTGGGGAGAAGGACCCTGCAGCTGTCAGCTGCTTTTTGCCAAGGGTTTTTTGCGTGATGTGACATTTGAAAGCAGCAATCTCTGTCGCCTTCTCACATAGGAAAAAGCTGAAAAGCACCTCCATGTATATTTACCAGACTCTGTTTCTGAACGGAGAAAACAGCGACATCAAAATCTGTGCCCTGGGAGAGGAGTGGAACTTACACAAAGTGTACCTGCGTCAGGTGGGTGCTGCGCTGCCCAACAACACCTCCTGCTGTGCAGGGCCTGAAATCTTCTCCTTTCACCTCCTGTTTCCCACCGATGGGTGCCAGAGCAGAACCAACGCAGAGCTCAGGGCTGCAGTGCCACACAAACCCTTTATTTTTCTGATCTCTCAGGTAGACGTCAGTGGGTGATGCATCTCCCTGTGTGCACATCCACTGCTGGGGAGGAAAGTCGTGGCTCATTTCACTCCGCTTGGACGGAAACCTTTCACCCTCTAGTTTTAAATACCTTAATCCTGAAGGTATATTTCCATCGGTGGTGTCTGTGTATGTGTCCTTGGTACGAGGCTGCCACCTTGTACGTTAATTTCTATGTCTTGCATGCTGGTTTCTTCCTTCTAATACCCAAAGTGGCGTTCCCTGATGCCCACAGGATTTGTTGCCCACTGGTGTCATTAAGGATGCAGCTCCTGGACTAATTATACCCCAACACTGGTGTGGTTGGGAGGAAAACAGCTGACACGGCTCTTCTGGCCCTTCTGGGCTCTTGTCTATGATTGCAGACACGCAGTTCAAATTCTCTGGGTGCATTTTCAGACACAAACTGAGCACACGTAGGCCTTTCTCAGTACACCAGGATGCCTTGGCTTGCACACTGCCTTTTCTCTGTGTGAAGGGAAACGTTAACAACCTTCAGCTCCACGTGCAGCTGCCCGTGCTTTTCATTTGAGTGCCGTTTCCAACTCGAGCTCCTTCTCTCTCCTCTGCCCTCCTGCAGTCAGGATACTTCTCCAGCATGTTCAGCGGCTCCTGGAAGGAATCCTGCATGGACACCATCGAGCTGGAGATCCCCGACCAGAACATTGACATAGAGGGTGAGTGGAGCCCGCAGAGCTCCCACGGAGGCTCCTGTCAGCTTCTGTCAGCTCCCGTCAGCTCCTGTCAGCTCCACGCTGAGCGCTGTGCTGCTGTTCCCCTCCCAGCCCTGCAGGTGGCATTCGGCTCGCTGTACCGAGATGATGTGCTGATAAAGCCCGGTCGAGTTGTTGCCCTCCTGGCTGCTGCCTGCATGCTGCAGCTGGTGAGTAGTGAGGCCTTTCCTGCCGTGCACAGCAGCACCTTCCTGCAGTGAGGAAAGCAGAACAGCACAACACGGCGCTGTGGTTGTGTTGGAAAATGCTGTGGTTGAGCTGTGGTTGTGATGTGGAAGTTGTCAGCTGTGTTTGGAAGCAGTGCTGGAGCAGCTCATTGTCTGCCCCGATGCTGCTCGTGGTTTTTGGTGGTGGAGCTCGAGAGCGACCTGGCTGTCTGCTGTTGGCATAGCAGAGGTCGCTGTGGCAGCAGGAATCGCTGGGTGTGACAATGAGCTGTGCTGTATTTCCCTCTTCCTGCTTGGAATGTGAAACTGAGTGTTTCTGTTTGCTTTTTTTTCCCCTTTCCCTTTCTGCAGGATGGCCTAATCCTGCAGTGTGGGGAAACGATGAAGGAAACCATCAATGCCAAAACTGTGTGCAGTTATTACAACTCGGCGGGGACGTACGGGTTGGACTCGGTGAAGAAAAGGTGAGACAACGTCATGCAGGATCCTCCCTGCACAGCACTGCATGAGCCTAATTAGCAGCAATGCCTTGGGCTCGTTCCTGATCACTTAAAGCTGTCTGCCTCGAGCTCTGTGCCCCCTGCATAGGCTGCTGACATCCACAGGGAAAAAGGAAGGCACTGATTCCTTGCTTTTAACCTAGGTGCCTCGAGTGGCTCCTGAACAACCTGATGACTCACCAGAGCGTTGAACTCTTCAAAGAACTCAGGTATTCATCCTTCAGTTAATTTTCAGCCACGTTTGGTGCCTTTCTGGTGCTGGCTGTTGATTGTGCAGATTTCTGACTTTTCCTTTTCTCCCTGAACCCCTGTGATCATTACTTTACTCTTTTTCAGCATAAATCTCATGAAGCAGCTGATCAGCTCTTCTAACCTCTTTGTGATGCAAGTAGAGATGGATCTGTACACTGCCCTCAAGAAGGTACTTGGCACAGGGCTTGGCCAGGGCACTGACCTGGTGCTCCTGAGGGCTGCTGTGTAAAGCAGCAAGTTTGAGCCCTGTGAAATGTACAGTGAGCACTTAATGGAGGATGGGAAACTCTGTGGGAGCGATTGCATGATGGAGACGTGGCTTTAAGAATGCATGTATGACTCGTTGGAGAAATAATCTGCCAGGCTGACTGGGGTCTGTTTGTTTTACCTAGTGGATGTTCCTGCAGCTGGTGCCTTCCTGGAACGGGCCTCTGAAACAGCTCTTAGCACAAGCTGATGCCTGGTTTGCTGAGCGAAGGAGAGGTAGGGACCAAGGATGTGGCCTTGGGCTCCAGGTGGGATGTGGCAGTCTTCATCTCCAGGTTTTCTCATGTTTTCTGGGGATGGTTCGGTTGGAAGGAGCTCAGAGATCACAACCATGGGATGGTTGGGTTGGAATGGAGCTTAGAGGTCATAGAATCATACGATGGTTGGGTTGGAATGGAGCTTAGAGGTCATAGAATCATACGATGGTTGGGTTGGAAGGAGCTCAGAGATCACAGAACCATGGGATGTTTGGGTTGGAGGGGATCATAGGACTGCAGGATGGTTGGGTTGGAAAGGAGCTCAGAGATATTGGAACCATGGGATGGTTGGGTTGGAAGGAGCTTCTGCTGAAAGGATTTGGAAGTCTGTGTCATCTTTGACATGGAACCCCCACATAGTGATGAACAAAAAGCTCCACCTCACATACAGACAGGGTCTACAGAACCCTTAGGAAGCAGAATGGTGATGTGGGCTGTGCTGTCCCACAGAACTGGAGGGCGATGCTGCATTCCTGGACCTGGAGCAGGGCGCTGCCTTCCGGCCCGTGTTCGCACACCTGCGCCTGCAGTACATCATCAGCGACCTGGCATCTGCACGGATCGTGGAGAGGGATGCTCTCATCCCCCCAGGTGAGTGTTTGGTGCCCGGGGGGAGGTTGGGTGCTCAGCTGCTTCTGTTTGCACTTTGCCTTCCTTAGGTGACATGCTGCTCTGGGCCTGCTGCCCGCAGGGTGGAACTGCATTCAGTGCTACTATCACTTAGCGCCGTTATGTTATCATAAAATGATAAAAAATGATAAAACGTGATAAAAACACCCGTTCTGTTCACACCTGGCTGTTGAGGGTTGGGTTCACCTGCAGCTTCCTTCTTTGCTTGGAAGCTGCAAGCCTGGAAGCAGTTTATCAAGCGGAGATCTCACCTGAAAACATTCCTCCATTATCACTGCTGCCATTCGTACCTCGGATGGCACAGAACATCTCCCCTCACTCCTGTCCTCCATCGTGCCTCCCTGTGCTCCTCACAGCAGTGTGCTTCAGGTGTCCCACTGCAGTATTCCATTACCCAGGCTGATCTCTCACCTTGAGTTTGGCATCTCAGCTCTTGGACAGGTCTTCTTTGTGTCCACAGCATGGCTGCATCTCAGTGGCACCTGTTTAGGGGCGATGCAGTGGCCAGGCATCACAAAAAGACTGAATTTCACTGAAATTTATTATTTTCTCTATCTGTAGCTCCTTGGCCTTGGTGCTCTTTGTGTCCAGGTTTGTGCCCTAGGAGTTTGTACCCTGGGGGCTGCTCTTTGTGTCCATACTTCTGCCCTAGGATTGCTCGCACCATCCATAGTCACAGACGTCTCCTGCCCCGCTGCTGACCCAGGAGCAGCTCAGTTATGGCACTCCATGTGTGTGCTGAGCAGTGTGGGAGCAGCAGGTGGAGGCAGAGCACTGTGAGTGAGGCAGCAAGCAGTGCTCACAGCTCTGCTCTGACAGCCATACCTGACCCACATCCCTGAATCACAGCAAACACCTCCCGTCCTGCGCAGTGCTTCGGGCAGCTCCTGGCACGGGCTGCACTCCTTCACTCAGTAAACCCTCACCCACGGTGCCACGTGGAGCTGTGGGCTCCTTCCGTGTGCATCAGAGCTGTTGCAAAACAAACGTGGGGCAGTGCTGGGGTGGAATGTTTTGTCCCTGCAGCACAGAGCCTGCAGGCAGCTCACCTTGTGCAGCACAGGGCGAGCAGTTCTGGGGTCACTCCCGTTCTGATTGTGACTTTGAAGCCCATTTCCTCGTGCTTGGTGAAAAAGAGCCCGCGGTTCTGGCACAGCTCCCAGCACAGCAGAGCTGTGTTTGTTTTCTCACAGCTGAACAGCCCCTCTGCTGCGCTCGCCCGCTTTGTAGTCCGCAGTGGGAGAGGCAGCGGGGGGTGCGGGGCGTGCGGTCATGCAGGAGGGATCTGCTGCTTCCTGCAGCGCTGGTTGTGAATTGCAAAACCCAAATGCTGAGCTGCTCAGTGGGGGAAGGAGGAGCTGCCCTGCACAGCATGATCTGCTCGGGGCCTTGCTGTCTGCCCTTATCTGTTTGCAGCCAGGGGAGGTGTTAAGATCAGGAAATTCCATCCAAAAAGAGGTGTAAATGAACCCTGATTTGCTTTCCTTGTATGCATTCATCCCACTCCTCCCTGCTGCCTGCAGGAGCGCTTCTGGCATTCCCCCATCCACCCTCCCTGGGCACAGTGTGCTCCGGGCTGCGGCCTTGCTGCTATCGGCCAAGGGGAGCTCCCACACCCCGTGCTTTATCTCTTATGAACCTCTTAGGGCCAGCACAACCTCGTTGCTGCCCTCGGGCTGTGCTCAGTACACACTCATTGCCAGCTGCTGTTCTTTCTTTGCAGAATGGCTGTCCTCCGTGTACAAACAGCAGTGGTTTGCCATGCTTCGAGTGGAACAGGACAACGACACTGGGTGGGTACACGCCAGGATTTCCTCTGCTTATTTCTCACAGCGGAAACCTCACTGATAAAGACCACACAGCGTGTTTCTGGGGGGGGGGCAGTGGTCCCAAATGGGTGCACCTCATGGCCGTCTGGGATCCAGCACAGCCCCTTGGGTGGAGGAGAAGTGGGGCAGCGCTCGGAGCAGAGCTCTGTCACACAGGCACTGATCTGTGCCTGTTATCACCCAGTGTCAGCCAGCTGGGCAGGCTTGGCCTGTTGGCTCAGCCCCTTCACCACGTGGTTCATTGCAACAGTTGGACCCCCAAATGCCCTCATCTGTAGAGGTTCTGGAGGCGTCCTTGGAGAGGGGGGATGGGGGCTGGCAGTAAGCTGCAACACACACAGGCAACACTCGGAGCTCCTACACATCCCAACCCATGCTGGTGCACTGTGCTGCTGTTCTGTTTGCTGGCAGGCCCCAAGAAATCAACAAGGAGGAGCTGGAGGGAAGCAGCATGAGGTGCGGACGGAAGCTCGCACAGGACGGGGATGTAAGTGTGCTCCAGACACAGGGGGCAGAGGTGGGAGAGCTGCGAGGGATGGGGTTGAGCCCCACGGCTGGGTGTGCACTGTGACTCTGGGTGCTCCATGGCTGTTCCCTGCAGTACTGCTGGCGTTGGACAGGCTTCAACTTCGGCTTCGACCTCCTCATCACTTACACCAATCGTTACATCATCTTCAAGAGGAACACGCTCAACCAGCCCTGCAGCGGCTCTGTCAGCCTGCAGCCCCGGCGCAGCATCGCCTTCAGGTACCTCCCTGAGCATGAGACACGTCGTTACTTGGCTAATTAGGCCTTCCCTTCTGTGCTGGAAGAAGCCTTTTGCGCTGGCCGAACAGAAGGAGGGTGCCGAGCCCCTTCCTTGTGTTGCACCCGTAGGTTACGCCTCGCCTCCTTTGACAGCAGCGGGAAAATAATCTGCAGCAGAACCACGGGGTATCAGATCCTGAGCCTGGAGAAGGACCAGGTATACTGGGGTGCTGTACTCTGGTGCAGGATGCAGAGCACCATGCAGGGGGAAAGCTGGGCTGGGGTGCTGGGGGTCTCACTAATGTGGCTTAACGAGGTCAGACTTGCGATGCCACTCCACCCCCCTGCACCAGTGGGGTTACCCAGTGCTGGGGGGCAGAGATGTTTCCCTAAGGACTCTCTGCTATTGTAAACTTAATGATGTTAAGGGAATGTCTGCTTGAGGGCGGCCACGTCTCACAGCTGGGGTTGTGTGATGCCAAACAGAGCGCTGTAACGCCTTGAGAACACTTCATGTGTGCCACAAAAGGGAGGCGAGCAGCTCTGGGGGCAAAGGGAGCACTGCCCCAGTGCTGGGAGCACAGTGCTGGCTGCGTGGCACTGCTCACAGCTCCGTGTGCCACCCCAGGAGCAGGTGGTGATGAACCTGGACAGCCGTCTGCTTGTCTTCCCCCTCTACATCTGCTGCAATTTCCTCTACACGTCGCTGGAGAAGAGGACGGGTGGCACAGCGGCATCAGAGGGCACAGATCAGCACTGAGTGCATTGCTGCAACTCGCAGCCCATCCTGCATTGCTCCACCACTGCAGGTGCTCGGAGCCACCCCAGTGCCCCCCCAGCAGCCCAACAGCTGTGCTGGGAGCAGCTCACACGTCCGCCGTGGGGGGGGAACCCACCCTGCTTTCGCTCAGGAACACTGTGACCATGGAGTGCCTTGGGGCCGTCCCCGCTGGGGTGGTGAGGGCTCAGCGCCTTCGTTCCTTTGTGTGTTTTTTTTTTTTTTTTAATGTTGGACTGTTGTTGTTGTTGGGAATTTACAGCCCGATTTTTTGCATTCCGAGAGGGAACGTTGCCCTCTCAAAGCGTCTTTTTTTAATATTGTCAAAAAAGCTTTAAAAAAAAAACAACAAAAAAAAACCCAAACTCCCTGCTTGGACCTGGTAATGAGGATAGAAGCGTTGGGGTGAGGCAGACCAGAAATGGGGTCAAGAGGAATGCTGTCCATCACCCCCCCCTCATTGTGCCATGGGTTCCGTGGCTCAGCACAGCCCAGCAAACGGAGCTCAGTCGGTTCCACGTTTTTATTGGGGGGAGCCGAGGAGTACAACACCACCACACTGCCAGGGAAACCGGTACGAAAAGTACAAAAATAAGGAAGCCTCTCTATCTCTCTATCTATCACGGCTAAAAATAAATAGTGTAAACACGAGAGGAGAACAGCAGGCGCAGCTCCGCTGCTCGCAGCCCCACCGTCTTTGGCTTGGATCCGAATCGTGCCGGGGGGGCCGGGCTGAGCTCTGAGTGCCCCCCCCCAGCTCCGTCCGTCCTTCCCTTCATATCGACAGCTGCGACTTCAGCTTCCCTTCTTCATTTCAACCCCGAGAGCGCAGTACCGACGCAAAGGAGTCCCCTGAGAGCTCCGTCCTCCGTGAGCGCAGCTCTGCCCCACATTGCGCTCGGGGGCTGCGGTGCATCCCTTCCCCCCATATATCCCTTTGGGGACAAGCAAAGTGCCCCCAACCCCGCCCCACAACGTCGGGTTCTCCAGTCTGATCCCAAGGAAACGTTAAATTAAGGAAAAAAACAACGAAGAGAAAGGAAGATTCGGTGCCACCGCTAAAGGACACGGCGAGGTGACGCAGGAACGCAACGCCAGGTGATGCAATGGGACCCCCATCCCCAGTGCTTCCCCACCTGTGCAGGTGGGGGGGGGGGGAAATAGAACTGGAAGTGTCCAGGGAAAGGATGGCCCTATAGGGCAGGATGTGGCATCAGAAGGCTCTGCTCCATGCGGATCCTTTCTGCTGTCAGGGGACACGTGAGTGGTTCAGGGTCGAGTGGGACACAGCCTTTGTGTCCCGCAAGGAAAGCAAAGGGGGGAGGGCCCCGTGTGTGTGTGTGTGTACGGAGGGAGGGAGCGGGGAAGGAATCGTCCGTCGGAGCTCTGAGCTGCCCCTACCGCTGCCCGGCCTCACGAATCCGGCACGCCACGGCCGTGATCAGCGCCGCTCCTTTACCGCTGCCATCCTCTGACTGCAGGAAGGTCACCTCGCAGCATGGGGACAGCTGCCTCACCGTGTCCTGCATGATGGCTGAGAAGCTGTGGGAGGAGGAGGAACCCATCAGAGCCGTCCTGTGATGCACCCAATGCCATCCCACGCCAATGCTGTCCCACGCCAACACCCAACGCAATGTGGGAGTGCTGGGAGCCAGGCACAGACAGCCCATGTTCTGCCTTCCAGCCCTGATTCATGGCCAGCACCCAACCTGAGTGCCAAGGGGCTCTGTGCAGCCCCACCACAGAGTCCTGAGCCTGATGCATGATCCACTATGGAGCCATGAGTCCTTTGGATGCTCCTTCACTGAGCCCTGAGTACAACGCACATTCCACTACAGAGCCTTGAGCCTTCTGTATGCCCCACTGCGGAGCCCTGAGCCCAGTGCATGCTCATCCCTGCACCCTTGGCCTCTGTGTGGGCTCCACTGGAAGGGGCAGAGCTTCACCACAGACCCTCCCACAGTGGGCAGAACCCCCAGCTGAGCCCAACCCAAAGACCACCTCCCTGCTCCTCTTTCTCCTCTGGGCACTCACTGTGGGTGCAGTTTGTAGAGCGTCCCATCCACGCCGACCGTCACCTTGAGGAAATCCAGCCCACGGTTCTCACGGATCTTATCCACCACGGCAGCCATTCCAGCCCCACAGAGCTGTGCAGCACGGCGGGCCACGACGGTGCACACCTCCTTGACGATGATGCTGTCATCACATGTGCTCTCCAGGCCCAGGTGCTGGAGGATGGAGCGCACCTGCAGCAGGGCCAGGCAGTCGCTGCGGGGGGGAGGACACAGTGGTTAGGAGGTTTCCCCTGAGATCCATGTGTCCTATGGCACCCATGGAGCCGTAGCTTGGGTAACGCCAACTGGAGGGATGCCCAGCGTGGAGTGCGCTCCATTCTTCACACCGTATCGCCCTGGCTCTGAGCGGAGCACCTGGGACCCCCCCCAAAACACAGCAGGATGGCCACATTCACATCCTCACCTTTCTATCTGGGACAGGAACTTTGTCTCAAAGATCCCCCTGGTCTTCAGGCGCTCAGAGATGCGGCCGCGAAACAGCAGCCCTCGCCTGGTGAAGTTTATCAGGATATTGCGGACGATCTCTCCCAGGTACATCCCGCTGATCATCTTCTCAAACCTGGAGTGGGGACAGCGGGGCTGAGTGTTGGCACCTAAGGGCAGAAGGGACAGCCCTATCCACCCCATGGCACCCAGCACCGTCTTTATGGTCCAGCACCATCGGATTCTGCAGGGGAGGGACCACTCCTCTCAGCCCCAGCGTTACCACCACACACCTCTGCTTCCCGGGGTTGAGGGACAGTTCATCCACAGCCAAATCAAACTCGGTCTGGATGTCATCCAAGCAGCCGTTGTCCCCAAATGCGCCCCACTCCATGTTGACACACATGCGGCCCTCGTCGCCCTCCACCAGCTCCACATTCCGCATCTCCTCCATGTAGCAGGCGTTGCTGCCCGTACCTGCAGGGGGAGAGTCTCAGTGGGGCTCAGAGGGAGGGCATCCCCGTGTGGGGCAGGGAAAGGTGCACTGCTCACCAACTATCAGCCCGACTTCGCAGTAGGGGTCTTCGTAGCCACAGGCCATCATGGTGCCCACCGTGTCGTTCACCACCGCCACCACATCCAGGTCGAACTCCTGGAAGGGAAGGGTTGAGTTGGGTGGTTTCCCACATGGAGAAGATGGGGCGGCCCACAGGGGTGGGATGGGCGGAGGGCAGCACTGCTCAGCTCCTAGCTCCAGGCTCTGGAAATCCACCCTCTATGTGATGACTAAGGGCGGTGGTTGACATCCCAACGCTCAGCCCATTCATTCCCAGCCCAATTAACGCTGCCGCAAAACTGCCCCGCTCACCTCTCTGCGGTGGATCGCCTCCTTCAGCAGGCTCACCACGTCCTCCCCTTCACAGCCCGTGGCTTTGAAACCCTTTGTCCACTTGAGGAGAATCCCCTGGAGAGAGAAAAGAGGGTTGGGGTGAGCGGGTTGGGACAGGAGTGCCCCATAACCCCCAAATCTCAGGGACACACTCAGGATCCTGCCGGTGCCAGGCTCACCTCATCCAGGTTGGTCTGCATGCATGGGAAGGAGAAGGTGAAGCCCAGCGGGAGTGACACTCCCTTCATCCCCATGTACTCCAGGAAGTCGGCGATGCAGTGGACAATGTGGTCGAAGAGCTGTATGTGCAGAGTCGGGGCAGGAGGGCACAGTCACTGCGTGTGCCATGCACTATAGGCTCCTCCACATCCCAGTGGGCAGCACTCCCACCCGTGGTATGCGGTCCTCCCTCTGTGGGGTGTCCCAGAGCCCCCCTGGCCCCAACCCCAGCAATGCCCCAAAGCCATCAGCGATGCTCAGAGCACAACCTGTGCCATTTCCCTGGTGGGGAAGTGGGGCTGATGCTCATCTGCCCTTGTTGGTTGGGTGGACTCACCTCCTCGCCCGTCCCCTGCATCACCTCCAGCGGGATGGAGTAGATCTTGTTGTGCATCTCCACGCCGCGCCGCATTCCATTCCGCACCCGCACCAGCAGCACACGGAAGTTCGTCCCCCCCAGATCCAGGGCGAGGAAATCTCCTTTTTCTAAAAGTCAGGAGAGGGTTGTGAGGAGAGAGAGCCCAACAAGGAGCACCATAAGCACTGAGAGAAGAAATCATGGCTGAGAATGTGGAGGTGACATTTCCCAGCCAAGGGCGCTGTGTTGGGTACGGGATGTTCTGGGGGCTCAGCATCATCATCCCAGAGCTTTGGAATTGCAGTGCTGCTCACCACTGAGGGCAACAACGGTCCCTGCATGGCACAGACACTCGGAGCTCTTTGCTATACGCAGGATATGAAGGTGCCCTCACCTGTCCCATCTGGAGTTGAGCACACGTATGTGGGCAGCATCTTCACTGTGGCCTCCACGTGCGTCTCCTTGCCCAGCCCCTTCTCCATCTCAACCCTCATCCTCCGCTTCACCTCCAGGAGCTGCTCATGGCTCAGTTTCAGTGCCTCCAGGATCTTCTGTCGGGCCTTGTGTTGGGCTGCCAGCCGGTAGGCCACCGCCGTCACCATGGCCGCCCCTTTGCCGCTGCCATCTTCTGACCTCACAAATCGGATCTCGCAGTCGGGCAGCAGCTTCCTCACTGTCTTATGGAGGCGTCGGGCAAAGCTATGGAAGAGGAGGAGAAGGAGGAAGAAGGCTTGAGTGTGCCTTCACAGGTCGTGTCAGACTCTGAGATGGCTTTGGGATCCAATGGAGGTGCTCATGGGCCACTACAAGGCCACATGTCCTCTGAGATGGACAACAAATGGGATCCAGTGGAGATGCCCATGGGACCCATCATGAGGTCAGACCTCCTCTGTGATGGCCAACAAATAGGGTCCAATGGAGGTGCCCATGGGATGCTTCTCTGGGGCCAGAACTAGTCTGAGATGGCTCACAGGGACTTTGGGATCCAATGGAGGTGCCCATAGGACATCACCATGAGGTCAGACTTCCTCTAAGATGGCCAACAAACGGGGTCCAGTGGAGATGGGATCCAGTGATGGGATCCAACAGAGATGCCAATAGGACATTATCATGAGGCCAGACTTCCTCTGAGATGGTCAACAAGTGGGATCCAATGGAGGTGCCCATGGGCCCCCACGGAGGCCAGACCTCCTCCAGCTTCCCGTTGCCTCGAGGACTTACTGCGGGTGCTTCTTGTAGACGGAGCCATCCACACCGACAGTGGAGCGCAGCCGGTCTACCCCCTTGTTCTCCTTGATGCGGCGCAGCACGGCAGCCAGCGTAGCCCCACAGAGGTTGGCCGAGCGGGTGGAAACGATCTGGCAGATGCGGTGGGTGGCCAGGCAATCCTCATGGGACGGCTCCAGGCCCAGTTTGGTGAGGATCTCGTGAGCTTTCTGCAGCCCCTCTTTCTCCCTGCACACCAAAGAACAGAAGAGATCTGTGCCTGGAAATCTGCTGTGGGCCCAGCATTTCCCCCAGCTGGTGGGTGGTGGGTTGAGACCCCACAAAGAGACCCAGCCCCTGCTCACTTCTCAATAGCAGAGACAAATCTGGTCTCAAAGTGTCCAGTGGTGCGCAGATCCGAAGAGAGCTTCCCTCGGAAGAGGAGCCCCTCCTTGGCCATCTTCACCAGGATGAGGCGCACCAGCTCACCCATGTACATCCCACTGATCATCTTCTCGAACCTCACAAACACAAGAGGTGCACAGTTGGACCCCCACCATTAACCCCAACCGCTCTCCCAGCCGCGCTGCCCATCTGCGGAATGGGAATTCTGTAAGACCGGGCTGTGGACATTAGGTGGTGGTGTTCCCTTTCTGCTGCTGATGGATTTGTTGGCAGGGGAAACGTGGATTGACAGCCCCGAGTGGAGGGCTGGCGAGGGAAGCAGGCATTGGGTGGACGTGCCAGCCTGAATCCCATGCGGTCCCCATTGGTGGGATGAAGGACACTGTGACCCAGTTAACTGGGACAACCCCGCCGGTCCCACATAATAGGAGGATGGGCAACATGGAGCAGAGCAGAGCCAGGAATCTGCTTACAGCTGCTTGCCAGGGTTGAGTGAGCCCATGTCTATCTCATGGTCGAACTCGGTCCTGATGTCATTGAGCACACCGTCGTCCCCGAAGGCGCCCCACTCCATGTTGATGCACAT